TTTATGTTTCCTATACACCTTATAACACAGAGCCTGAAGGCAATTTTATACAATATTTTATATATTTCTAATTTATAGATGTTTCATTTAACACTGAGACCTGGATCTGGATCTGACAAAGGAGGGAATATTTTCCATACTGCCCCATCCCTGTAGAAAAATGGTGAGGAAGCATCACCAGGCTTTGCAAAAATCTTACACAATCCCTCGTCTGTCTAGACATTTTATTTTTGACATTTTGCCGTTTATTTTGGAAGAAGCCTCTTTTTTCTTCTGCTTGGCGGGCCAAGTTGGGATTTCAGAAGCAAATGAAGCTTGTCTACATAGTGATTTTGGGACCGGATGAATGTAAATGTCTTCCAATAGTGGCCTGTTATTCATTAAAAGACCAACATATATATATATATATATATATATATATATATATATATATATATATATATATATATATATATATATATATATATATATATATATATATATCCTCTTGATGCTTTACCTCTTGAAGCAATATATATATATATGCTGGAAGATTAGACTTTTATTAGCTAAAAAGCCTGACATGTTTTGGCCTTCTTAGAAAGTTTTGCAAAAATATTGCAAGAGGACAACACATAAATTCATGACATCCAGTTACATGAGAACATTTATTGTATTGGAACATATATTGTTGTTGTTTATAGCCTCTACCTATCCAATGAAAATCAAAACTGTGGACATTTTTGAGCCAGGAATGCCAAAGACCATTTACTAGCAGAATGAAAGCATATAAATAAAGCCTGAAGTTTTTAAATATCTTGTCAGCAGATGGTAGAAAACATAAATAACATTCATGGACACACACACACACGCATGCATACATATAAATATCTGGATTGTCTGAAATCTCAGAGAGATTTTATAGGTGTGAGGGATAGTCAACTTTGCCATTCAAATTTTTAATTTCAAACTCCATTCCACTTTCCTTTTCAGCAGAAAATTATTATCAATAGTTTTCCTTCTCTTTTGCTCAAAACCCTGTTGCAAAGTAGTCTTAAAGAGGCTTCATAGCATTGCCAAAAATGTGTATTATTTGCACATCTATTTAAAATGTAGACTTTGACCGGGATGGCATCATGTGGGCCCCCAGATGTGGTTGGACTGCATCTCCCATCATTCATCACCATCCGCTACGATGGCTGGGGCTGCTGGGAGTTGCAGCCACAACATCATAGGATTCCTACACCTTATCTAAATCCAATTGTAAGTACAGTACTCTAATCCTAGTTAAGAGTAAACCCAACAGAATGAATTGTTCAGGGGAAACTGACAATTTCATACGTCTTAATTGTGGTCATGTCATTATGGTATCCTTATGGTTTCATCATGTTTAGGATTGACAAAGATGTAATAATACACAAACAGAACGTATATGACAATGTTTTATCTTAATTTTAATTGAGTGTGTTTGTGTGTGTGTGTGTAAACATCCAAATGTTTGTCTCTATCTATCTATCTATCTATCTAT